TACTCTGTTTTGCCTTCCTTCAGTGGCCCCAGCCATCCCTCCGCTGTCACGGTCATGGGAATGGATGGCACTCCCTCCACCTACCGCCAGACTTCTCCTCTGTCTTGCCGCCTGGATGGCTCCCTCTTCTTGCACTCATTTCTTATCATTCCTTTGTGCCCAGTCCCCTTGTTAGGACGAGATCTCCTCTCCAAGCTAGGGGCCTCAGTTCACTTCCGGCCCAACCCCTCCCTGCACCTCGCGTTCTTCTTTCCCCTCCTCCCGCCTGATAAACCCCACCAGGCTGACCCCCCACTCCTGTTTCTAGTCCCCATTAACCCTAAGGTGTTGGACACCTCTACCCCGATCATTGCCCAGCACCATACTCCAGTCTGCATCCAGCTGAAGGATCCCTCCAAGTTTCCCTCTAGATCCCAGTTCCCTACCTCCCTTGAACACTGACAGGGACTAAAACCCATCAGCAACCCAGAATGCCTGCTCCAGCAGCACATTCTAGTCCCTGCCAACTCACCATGCAATACTCCTATCCTGCCTGTACGGAAAAGCTCCAGGGCCTACCGCCTCGTGCAGGATCTACGCCTCATCAATGAGGCAGTAGTCCCCACCTTTCCAGTTGTTCCTAACCCATATACACTTCTCTCACACATTCCCCAATACCACTCATTTTACTGTCCTTGACCTAAAAAGGATGCCTTCTTCACCATTCCCCTACACCCCGACTGTCACTTTCTGTTTGCCTTTACATGGGAAGATCCAGACACTCATATTTCTTCCCAGCTGACTTGGACTGTTCTGCCTCAAGGGTTCTGAGATAGCCCCCATTTTTTCGGACAGGCACTGGCACAGGATGTTAGCCTCTGTCCCCTTACCCACAGCACACTATTGCAATATGTAGATGACTTATTACTATGTAGTCCCTCCTGGGAGAGCTCCCTTGTGGATACTGCTACACTTTAAAATTTTCTTGGTGAGCGAGGTTATCGGGTTACCCTAGCCAAGGCTCAGCTTCTGTCACCTACCTAAGCATACTCCTCACATCCCACTACAAAAAGCCTCATGGCGGATAGCATAAGCCTCATCAAAACTCTCCAGCCTCCTCAGGATGCGGAAGAGATCTTGTCCTTCCTAGGACTAGTAGGGTATTTCAGGCATTGGATTCCCAACTTTGGGGTCCTAGCCAAGCCCCTCTACCAGGCTGCCAAGGAAGTGCCCACCGGACCGCTGTCCGACCCCTCATTAGTTGCCAACTCTTTCGAGAAGCCTCAGGACTGTCCTTTCTGCCCCTGCTCTCTCTCTCCCCAACCCCCTTCGGCCTTTTCATCTATTCACCGAGGAGCGTCAAAAGGTAGCTACTGGCCTCCTAGCCCAGCCGGTTGGATCCACATACCAGGCTGTGGCCTATCTCTCCAAGCAGTTAGACCCCACGGTCCAGGGCTGGCAACCTTGTCTGCGAGCCCTGGTAGCTGCCACAGAACTTACCAAGGAGGCCCTCAAGCTCACCCTAGGACATTCTCTTACTGTCTACTCTTCTCACCGACTGTCAGGTCTCATCACACACAAGTGTCTCAGCCACCTCATCCCATCCCAGCTTCAACAGTTCCATCCCCAATGCTTCCTGGTACAACCGGACAGGATCTGCGCCTCCACATCTAACTGCCCCAGCAGCTCCCTGTGTCCTCCGCTTCATCCAGGACCGCATGAAAGGAGTCTCCCGGGTCACTTTCAATCAGATGCTACTCCACCCCTATACCCAAGTTCCGACCTCCAAAGAACCCCACAACAGCCTATATCAGCAGGAAGCAGCCAGATGAATATGTCGCCCCTTTTTCTTATTAGAAAGAGGTCGGAATGTTAGGCAGGAATCTAGACCCAACATGGTGGTATCACCTGGCATGGTAGGCCCTTTGTTAGGAATTCCCACCCTTCACTTCCTGCTAAGACTTTCAGCGCCCGAAAAAAGCCTGCGCCCGCCAAAAAACCCCCGCTCTGTGCAAGCTCCT